TCCACAAACATGGGGCAGTGGTGGCAGTGTAGAGAGCCGCAGGGCATCCCTGGCACAGGCAACCGGGGCAGATAAATATTAATTTTTCTAATTTTTTTAGGGGCCCCGCAGGCTAGATAGAATAGCCTGGCGGGCCACATTTTGCCCACGCCTGCCTTATAGCATCAGGAAGCAGTAGACTTAGACACACTGTCAAAATGCCATAAGAACATTGCTGTACTGCTTTCAGTTCAGCATGTACAGAGCAACACAGTATAAGTGAATTAGTACCTAGTACAGTGAATCTGTGGTGTAGACATGCCCTTTGAAGTCAAAAGGAAAAAGCATGCTATAGTTAACAAATCTACAATGAATAGATCTGACATCTGCCACCCCTCCCAAAAAAAATCATACTAATCTAATTAACACTACACATCTTATAGATGTATTTATGGCTTAAAGAATTTTCATACTTGGGATGTGCAAGAAGCTGGTATAAGGCATGCTTATTATCATCCAGGCTCATCATGGCTACCAAGAAACACTTGATTACTTCCCAAGCCTGCCTCCGATAATATGGTTCTGTGTTGGCACTCTTCAAGCAGTCCAGAGCAGTTTCAATTGCCTACAATGAAAAATAAGACAATTATATCCACTAAGCACTGGTTATTCATGTTCTCCTACAGTCAGGTAACAAATCAACTAAAACATGTATTTTTAAAAATATATTAAGGTCATTTAAATAGCTTCTACTCCTTGCACATCCCAAGCGAAATGTATGTCCTATTCTGGCAGAACATTTGCAGGCTTAAGTGGACTAAAATTGTCATGTTATTTGTGCTTTCATGTAAATAAAAACCAAAAAGCACTTAGGATCACAGAAGACCTGTACTTTTTCTCCCACTTTTCAACTAAGTGCTATACTTTTCCCTTCTGGCAGTAATTCCTGCACTTAATTCCAAGATCTACTGGATATAACACATACCCACATTTAAGAAAAGCATGCATCTAGTAAGATGCATGTGGAAAATTCAGTTAGGGGGCATGAAATAAGAAAATTCATTGATTAACCAATTATAACATGAAATCTAACCATCCATGTTTAAACAGTGAGTATAAAGGATGATGTCAATAAATGACCTTAGAAGACCTTTGTTACAAAGAAATAGATTTTTTTCTTCTTTTTAAGGGAAATCATCTTTCCATTTACTGGATTAACTAGCAGCCCTCTCATCATCTTTTAAACAATCTTATCAAGGTCTCGATGAAAAGAACAATCAGTTTTCCACAGACCACTGAAGTGGAACGCCTCACTAGGGCACTAAAAAGAAAGATGAATTTCTTATACTTTAACCTCGTTCCATTTTTTTAATTCAACTTTTTTTTTTTTTTTTTTTTTTTTT